GTTTCTAAATTTGCCTGTTTTCCTCTTCCTGACCCCCCCCCTTTTTTTTCCTTTGGTGTCATGCCTTTCAGATTGTAAAACTCTGGGCAGGGACTTTTTTTTTTATCTTGTGTAAGCCACTCTAGAGACCTTCTTGGTTAAAGGGTAAAAATGATTCATAGGATTAATAAATAAATATCCGATACCACAAGGGCACTTCATGTTACAGTTCTGACCAATGAGAATTTTCCCTTTGGCATCTTTTCTCTTGGAAAAGTCTTCTGCATATTCGCCGGGATTGTGCAAAAAAAAAATTCCTCCCATTCTTGTGGACCTTCAGTCCTTTCCTTCCTCCATTTAGCCGAGAGTTCCCAAGCCATGTATGTTGTAGGAAAATGGTGTCTTGCCTGCCTATCCCCTCTCATCACGACAGTATATACTCTACTGTAAATAGCTTTTTTCAGCATGGATCTACAGCAAATGAGAATGCAGGAATAATGAAGAGAAGGTCAGTGGGGGAGAGTCATAGTTCAGTGGTAGAGCATCTGCTTGGCAGGTTCAAACCCATAATTTCCAGGTGAGGCTAGGAGTGATTCCAGCCTGAAACCTTGGAGAGTATTGCATAGACAATACTGAACTTGACAGGCTGAGTTAGTACAATGCAGCTCCCCATGTTCTATTAAAAAAAAGTCCATTGCTTATGCAGGATGATTTATCATTTCCTATGCAATTATATATTTTTTCACATGTGGAAACAACCCATCACAGAATATTAAAGTACACAATTTAGCATATTAGATTTAAGGCAGTTGTAGGGAAGCTGTGGTCCTCTAAGCTTCATTGGACTCCAACACCCATTAGACCCAGCCAATGATTACGGGAACTGTAGCCTAACAATGCTTCAAGTGTCACAGGCTCACCCATCCCTGACTTAAGGAAGGAGCTTTCTGACATCATTCATTGCCAAGTTATCCAGAGACACTCTCAAATTACTTGGTCATCAGTCATGGTGAGGCAGGGAAATTCCATTGTGACGCTGCCACCACATCACATGGTCCGTCCCCGTCCCCCTTCCCCAAATTCAATATTCTAATACACAGAGGAGGAAATGGGAACGCACCCAGTGACCACATCACACTGTGCATTCAGCAGAAAATATGAATGGGCTGTTTAGATGCATGAGTCTAGGCTTATCTACATGAACAATTCTGTGTGGGGTTCCCAAGCACATGGAAGGCCCTCCTACCATATAGCTGTACGTCAATAAAGCCCCCTTCAAACTTCCACTGAATGTGTATAGACACTCTAGAGGTTGGAGACAGCAGGCATAAACCCAGAAGGAAAAGTGTCAACAGGACTAGAGTGCAATATGGAATCCAGTCACCAGAGAAAGTGTAACATGTAGCCCCATTCTTTTTGGGGGTTCCCTAGACTCAGAGTACATAGCTAGTCATAAAAGGCCTAGAGCCATATTTCATTATATGCTGCCTCTCTAAATCCTGAGAATGGGTCACACATTCTTGATTTTCGGATAAAAACCTAAAAATTGGTTGGCGAGCCGTTTACATGGCGACAATCACATCCCATGTGAACTTTCTTCCTACTGACGTCTGGTGCTCTTAGGAAATCATAATACTCACTGACTCATGGTGAATCATTGAGCCCTCATGTGATGGGACCAAGCTATAAATATGACAATTACAATTGCTATTGGTTTTTTTGTTTTTGTTTCCTGGTAGGTCTCTTTTGCTGCTAACAGCTACATGATAGGCAGCTACAAAGCAAGATGCAGTTCCCGAATTGGGAATAGCTAGCTAGAAATCAAGGATGCAGGAATCCTGCCAAAAACAGAAAAAGCAGCAGTCCTAGCAATGACTGAAGTATTCACATCATATCTAAATCCGCTCATGCCTTCTTCTAATCAGGATATGAATGCATGCCACAAGCTTAACCAAGGAAAAAATACACCAAACAAAATCTACAGATGGGGGCGGAAAGAGGGGGAACGTCCTCATTCAAGTCGATTCGAAGGATAAATTGGCAATTATAAATAAGGTCAAACAATGCAGCACATCCAAATTCAAATGCAAACTCTGCATTTGGCATCTGACACTTCTAAAATCAATACCTGATCCTTGATACCCTATATATGAAATTAGATATATTCTCTGTTCAAATTGATCACTTCAGTCATGCAGCCAAGAGAAGGTATTCACGGGATTTCTTAGCTTGCTGAGAATTAGTGAGAAATCCAATGTCACAATGCAAAACACTGATGTTAGCAAATGTGTAGTTTTAGAAAATAAACGCCTTTCCACAATCACACTCAAAATCCATATTCAGATGCATTACATCCAAATGTAGCCCCCTCCCCAATAACATGGTTTATTCCTTTCTCCCTTTTGAGAAAGCTAGGATGAGACAAGGTCTGGAAGAAATCAAAAGTACCTTGATGAAAGCAAGATTTAAAAAATACACAACCTGAGGTCTCAATTTTTCTTTTTTAAAAAGTCATATACTTTGCACAAGTAAGAAAATCCAGATAGAAAGTTCTTTCAGGAAAATTATCCAACAAAACCATTTCTCCCCTCTTTCCCAAAACAGAAACCCTGGACATGCCACAAGGTTAAGAATCCACGTGAAATATCACTTACCCAGTTTCACACATATAAAACGAAAACTATAGAAAGGAGACAAAATTTCAAGGTGAAACTATAGCATTATACAACATAGGTCTGCAGGGTTATGTACCGTCGGCGTGATTAAGTACGGTGTCTTCAGGAAACACCTTAAGGAATGCATGAGTTTAATGCTATCACGTCCATGATATCAGTAATAAAGGGTGTGGGGAGAATGATGTTCATGCGTGAGCAACAATTGGCACTGGAAATAAATCATGTAGCTTCCCGTAAAGACTATTTCATTTCCTTCCGTTTGAAATTGTTATCAAGTGTTTATTCATAAACTATATAAAAAAAATTACATGTGCTGGGATACATATGAGACCACAACCTGTCCCATTGTACAGTGATGCTGTGTTTATGAATATCTTTGCCACTGCTTGCTGCCCAAAGGGGTAAGAATCAATATTCCATAAATAGATTTGTACAGTCCGTCATTTTGGCCTTCCAAGGTGCCAGCACACAAATGGATCTGTACAAGGGCAATTATGTTCGACTGAACAACCCAGCAGTTCTCCAACTAAGATATTTTGGTTGAATTATGAAAATAAACCACCACCACCACTCCTGCTAAAATAAACAATTTCTACATGTCCCTCACTAATTAGTCTAATTAGTCATCCTAGCAGGAGGCTCTGTAGAATAATCATTCATAAGAAGCAGCAACAACAAAAAAATAGATCATATATATTTCTTTCTTTCCTGTACCGACTGATTGCCTTGGATTGTCTATTAGGTTTTGGTGATGATAGTGTTGATGATTTAATTTCAGTGGCTTGGATCCAAATTATGTGAGGCACACTCCAGTTCCACCGAAAGCAGTGGGACTTAAACTACTAAGCTGGTTTCTTGAATTCAATGGGTCTAAAGTGTGACAAACTGAATCTGGATCCCCCTTGGTGATTTCTGACATTCTCCAGAGACCACAACAGCTTTGTGCAGAGTTTGGGAGGGGGGTAGAAAGAGCTCAGAATGCAGTGTAACACTTCTGAGCAAATCACAGACTCTGGGCCTCATCCTGTAACCTATTCAACACCCTGGGCAGTGGGAGATGGAACTTAAAAGTACCACAATTTAGTAGGAACCTGCTCTGGCAAATGTAGAAGATGCCTCAAACTGCAATTCTGTGCTCCGTGAGGCAGCTTCAATCCCCACTGAAGTCAGTAGGAGCATAGCTATGTGCAGAATAGCAGCCTATGTATCTGTCAGGTGTTTCCCCTTGCCATCAACTCTATAGGACCATTTCACAGATGACACAGCAGCAAACCAGGCTTTGCCACCAAGTGTACAAAGAGCCACAACCAATCTGGTCTCTCTGCCAGATGGAGCTGCAAATTATGCATTTCTAGCACCTTTTTTTAGGTCTACATCTAGAAAAGGACAATGTGTGAAGAGGCCCAGCTTTCTGTTCCAGAGGGAAGTTTAACCACATACAATAAGTAAGCATTCCGGAGGAATGGAGCCTCAAAGAGTGAAGAAAATGCTACCATGTATATAAAAATAGGAGCTACAATAAAATAATTTTTTTTGTATATATTTCAATAAGTTATTTTTACTAACCAGTTATGGATCATATATCTCTGAACTCTTTATTGATTTGTCCACATCTAGGGTGATCCTTTTAAAGATCATAATATTGGTTTTTAATTCAAAAGTCCAGAAACATACAAATACATCCTCTTTTCTTTTTCCTTAAAAAAGGGGGAGTGGGGTGGGGGGACCAAACGACCTTGTATTAAAGTCAGGGTGTGCCAATCTCTCTCTTTCCCCTGCCCACCTTCCCCAAAGCCATCCATGCCTCAGAAGGGAACTTGGTGCCCAGCACTGTTGAACTGAGGTGAGGGAGGGGGGGATTGTCAGCAGTGAATATTCAACATAAAGAACAAGATAAAATGATTTATGTGACCTTTTCAACATTGTCATATGAGACAACACTCTCTTTAAAAAAAACAAAACAAAACAAAAAACCCACATCCCAATTCCTCCTTTTTAGCATCACACAAGTGCAAGAACAAATGCTGTGTCTAGTTCGCTCGATTGATTGATTGATTCCTACTGGCTGTGAGGTGGTTAAAAAAAGAAGAAACAAAAATAAAAATAAAGAGGGCAGTGAGAAAGAGAGAAAGATCTATAACTATGGAATCAGCACACCCTTTCGGTAACTTTTCCCGAAGCTGGAAACTTCTGTGCCAAGGCAATTCACCTTCCAACAACATGAAGCAAAGGCGGATTTGGGGAGGGACGGGATGTGGAGGAGAGAAGATCAACAGTGTGTTTCTTTGTGTGTGGTTATTAAATACAAATGCTCTGGGTGGGAGGACGGGAGTAGAGGAGGAGGTCTCAGAACTGACTGAATGTGGTCTGTTTTTCCAACACTTCGAGGTAGTCCGGCTCTGCATTTAGTTTTGCTTTTAGCTCCAGGTATTCGTTCCTGTTGGGCTCCATGTAAACAGTGCTTGGGGGGGTGTAGAGCACTGTTTCCCGGAGCCGACTGTCCCCCGGGCCGGGATGCAAATAGGGGTGAGGGGGGCGCCTAAGGTCATAGTTAGGGGAGTAAGTGTAGGCAGTTGGGGGGAACTTAGGGTACTCAGGGAGGTTGCTGCCCCCCAAAGTGGAAGAAGGGTGTTTGTCGGGCTCCAAAATGCCCCTGTAAAAACGATCAGCATCCTGGACAGGGGAAAGCAACTCGTCCCGAGGCTCAATGGTGCTCACACTGTATGTGGGGCTCCGGAGGGTCTCCTCTTGCCCCCCCGGAGCTGCTTGGGGCTGCCCCAAGGCCTGTGGGGGTGGTGGGGGTTGTGGCTGGAGGTGATGGTTGCTGTAGGTCACCTTGAGCTCATGGAGATCTTTGTAATCCTCACCAGCGTTGCCCTCTCTGGAGCGGTAGATTGGGTTCTTGCACATGTGACCTAAAGGATGAGGGATGTACTCATAGACGTGTCCCGCGGGGGTTTTCACCTTGGGCAAAGCCGGACCACCACCTCCTCCTCCATGGTGAAGATGCTGTGGATGCTGCTGGTGATGGGCGTGTGGGTGGGAATGGGGGGCTCCCCCTCCTGTGTACACACTGTACTGCATGTTGAAAGAGCTCACATCCGAGTTGTTGGTGCTGGCATGGTCACCTTGGACCTTCTTCCTGCGCTTCATCACCAGCACAAAGAGACCTGCGGCCACAAATACAGACATGATGAAGACCAGCAGTAAGCTGAGGATCAACACTGACAAAGGCACCGTGGAAGAAGAGGAGGAAGACGAGCCACCAGAAGGTGATGCTGAGTCATCCTCCTCCAAGGTGCTATTGATCTGCCCGGAGTTGGAAAAGGGGGTGGTCTTGGCTGGTCCCTGCATGGATGATGGAGTGGGTGTGGAAACAATGATGTCAGAGTAGTCTGGGCACAGCAGTTCTGCTTTGATGTTCCTCATGTAATTCTGAGCAAATTTCTTAGGGGATTCACAGATTACCTGGTCCACAAGGACTCCTGTGTTGAGTTGCTCGATCCACAACTTCATGCCCACCACGTCGCATGTACAATCCCATGGGTTCTCGTGGAGATCTATCTGCAGGAGGGATTTCAGCTGGTCAAGCACTCCACTTACAGGAAGGTAGGAGAAATGGTTGCTTCTCAGGTTCAACCTGTAGAGAGTTAAGCCAGAAAAAATGCCTCCAGGTAAAGATCTCAGCAGGTTGTTGTTGAGAAACAAGAGCTGTAAATTGGGCACAGGGTCAAAAGTGCCTGGCTCAATCTCCCGGATTACGTTATATTGCAGGAAGAGGTACTGCAAACTCTGAAGCCCATAGAAAAGCTCTGGGTTCAGTTTTTCAATCCGGTTCCCATTCAGGTAGAGCCTCCTCAAGTTAGTTAGATCCTCAAAGGCCCGATCCTGAATGACCGAGATGCGGTTATTGCCCAGGTGAAGCAAATCCAAGCCAGTAGCATCCAGGAAATCTGACCTACGCACCAGGGCAATGTAGTTCTCAGTCAGGTACATCTTCTTCGGGTTGTACGGCTTGGGTTGGAGCTCTGAAATGCTCTCAATCTTCCTTTCTTGGCAGTTGACGTTGAGACCCAAATCGGAGATCTGTAGGTTGCAAGTGCAAGCTGTAGGACACTCCAAAGGCACCGGGGATTTGGTCTGGTAAGCAATGCTGGGGCCATAGTTGCTGTATCCCAGATCCTTGGAGGGCAAGCGGGAGGTAGGACGCACCCTGGACTTGTTGGGTTGGCGGGTCCCTTTGGGCTTCAAGGGCGATTTGTAAACAGCCGAGGAAGAAGTAGCCACAGAGTTTACAGAGGCTGGTGTGGTATGAAAATACCCTGTGGTGCTCAGTGGGGTCTGTGGCCTCATCTCATAATCGGAGATGAGCCTCCTAGGACAAAGCTCCTGCTTGGAAACCTCATCCAAATCCCTCCCATGTAAACGGAAAGGGGTTTCGCAGACTACATCCCCCACCAGGGCTGAATAGGATATGCTGTCCAACCAATCCTTGAGAGCTATCAGCTCACAGGAGCAGTTCCACGGGTTCTCCTCCAGCTGCAGCTCCACCACCTTATCCATGTGCTGCAGGAGGCCCAAGTAGGGAAGGAGTTTTAGCCGGTTGCCCCTCAAATCGAGATGAGTCAAGGGCACAAAACGGAACAGGTTGTTGGGCAATGAAGAGAGGAGGTTGTCGTTCAGAATCAGCACCTGCAACAGATGCAGCTTGCTGAAAGCACTGGGTTCGATAGCGCTGATATAATTGTAATCAACTTGCAGGTACTCCAAGCTTTCCAGCCCTACGAAAGTGTCATCCCTCAGTATTTCCAGCTTGTTGTTGTTCAAGTGCAGCCTCCTCAAGCCCCTCAGCCCATGAAAGGCTCCTGTCTCGATATCTTGGATGTCATTGCCGCCCAGGTGCAAAATCGAAGCCCCACTGTAATTGACAAACTGGTTGGGGTAGAGCCTGTTGAGAAGATTCCCAGACAGCAGGAGATGGTAGATGGAGAATTTGGGGGGGCTGATCTCAGAGAGGTTGATGATCCCCCGGTTCTCACAGCTGACCGTCAAGATGCCATCCTTCTCCTCGCAAGGGCATTTGTTATCACAGATCTCCCCATAATACTCAATGCTTTCTGCCCACGCCAGGACTAGAGATGTTAAAGCAAAGGCTATGGTTTGTACCATCCAGATATGCATTTTCTTGTTGAGATCCTGCTCCAGAGTCACCGTAGAGCAGCAAGCATACATGTTATCTCCTGCGGAGGGCAAGAAGAGAGAACAAAACACCATCATGTAATGGGGACTGAAGCCTAGATCATGACAAAGTTAGGAGGCAAGGCTGCAGAGGGACAGAATTTAGGTTGCTTGCCAAGGGTTTTGATTACAAGACGCCCATCTAACTCTTGTTAAATAATAGCTATTAACTTACTGATTTAGTACAGGTTTCCTGTCTTTCGAAAGGTAAAGTCACAACCCAAGTCCTTTATTCCTAGGAACGCATTTCAATATTTTGTTTTATTTGTTTCTATAGTGTTTTCCCCTCCCCCACTACACACATACAAACACACACACAATCCACAAATATACATAAAATGGCTGTCAGTTTAGTTATTTGGTTCTAATTTCAGAGAACAGAAGCACCATTTTATGAGGTTTTCAGCCTCACCTATTACCTACCCGGCAACCCTTCCCTTTCTTTCTCAGAACATTCAGAATGAACAGTGACCTGCAAAGGAAGGTCTCCCCCCATTTTTTGGCAAGGCTAGCTTGCTCTCCACATATATAGAGAAATGTAAAACCATTCCTTGAAATTCCACTGCAGGGGTCTATAGTACAAATGACTGTAAAGATAGAGAACACTAACATTATTGTTTTTAATCGTTTTGAAAGTGGGGGGAACAAACCCTGAAAAGGGTGGACCCCCACCCAAACACCTGATTTCCTAAACAGCTTTGCTGTATAAGCTTACACAAAATGTCAATCAACATCTCAATTTTTTAAGGGGGGGGGGGAATCAAAAGTGATGAAATTCTTCAGCCAAATAATTAAATATACTTCCCCCCTCGTCATCTCAAAGGCTTTTCTTTTTTGAAAGAAGAAAGGGGGAGGGGGAGACAGTGCAAGCCACTGGTGGAATATTTATGAATTCTTATTAGAAGATCTTCTTAAAAGAAGTTATCATCGCCGCTTGCTTCTGGATTGATCGGCTGGTAAATGAGTTGTTTTCACAAGGGCACTGGCAAAAAGGCAGCAGTGCAACACAGATGCGCTCTCTCTCTCTCTCTCTCTCACACACACACACACACACACTAAAAAGCATCATCCTTTAAGCCACTCACCCAGAATTTGGCAAACATGCTAGACTTGAGGAGTGTCCCTGCAGCCTCAGCCATATCTGAGCTACTGCTTCTTCTCCCACGCTTTGCAAAACTAGCCTAATTGCAATGGAGAGAGCTAAGTGGGTCTCATAGAGCTAGATCATCAGCAAGTCCAGGAGCGGTGGAATTGCTGCTTCTCAGCTACCATGGCTGTCAGCACTCTCCATCCTTCTGAGAAGGCATTCAAGGGAGGTGGATTGGGGAAAACCCCCCAAAAAACTCATCCATTTGCACTCCCCTCAACCTGTATCTGATCTCTGAACCGGCATCCAGACAGAAAGACCATCCCAATTTCTTTTCCCCTCTCAAAGCCTTTATGTCTTCCCCCTAAAGGGTCCTTCTACTTGTGTCTGAACACAATAAATATCTAGACAGAGGATGGATGGAAGCTTCGCGGGCAGCATGTGGGGTTGGGGGGGTGGATTAATAAGTCGCCCAGCGTTAATCAATGACTTTTGGTTTGTTATTATTGCTTTTTAGAAAGAGGATGGCTTGAATATGTTCAGGTCAACCCTTCCCACAAGTCCAAGAACGTTTGAATTTGGAAGATCCTAGACATCTCTCTCTCTCAATTTATTTATGTTTCTAAGCATCGCTCACAGATTGACAAGCATCCGTCTAGGTGCAAGCATTTTGCAGTAGAACAGAACCCAGACCCATTAGGGTAGAAGTCTTTGCTTCACCAGCGGAATGAATGGTTTGGCAAAAAGGCATGTCTCCCTCTCTGCGTTAAGCAAGAAGTCAAGCTGGGAGGGGGAACCCCCCCCCCAAAAAAACCCCTTCACTTCTAACACAATTCTCAGATCCAGCAGAGCTATTCATCCATTATCTGGCTGCTTCTCGGAGAGCCATATCGCAAATAAGTAGGTAGCTAAATAAATAAATGCATCCTTTCAGACTGTTTTTATTTATTTTTTAAGGGAAGAAAACCACCCAAGGCTTTATTTGAATCGGAGGTAGCAAGAGCAACGAAATAATTTGCATGTCCTCCTCCCTGCACCTTCCCCGGTCTTCAAAATCGTGGAGGGGGATAGGGAAGAGGACATGAGACAAATAAAGTTGAATGTGGCATAGAGAGGATTGCTCCAGAGATCTGGTTCGCAAAGGCTAGAAAAAAAGGGATGGAGAAACAGCTAAGTGGAATGTGTTTCTGTGTGTGGAAGCAGAGAGAGAGAGAGAGAGAGAGAGAGAGAGAGAGAGATTTGAAAAGGAGGAGGGGTGAAATTCTTGTTTCAGTGCTCCTCTTTCCCGTACCCCCTTCCCCGGGGAGGGGAAAAAAATGAGTTCCACCCCTAATATTACCGCACTGAAGCAACCGCCTCGGTTTGCAAGCAAAAAGCTGGGGGCAGTGGTGTTGCTTTGCAAAAAAGAAAAAAGGGAAGGGGGGAAATGGGGGGGGGGTGTAGGGGAGCCAAGAGCAACAAGGAGACATGGATCAACGCTCTCCGACCCCCCCCCCCCCGCGTCGCCCTGTCCTCCTCCACCCCCTCGCTACTTACTGAGGCAGAAATCTCCAGGGCCCAAGCATTGTTGCAACCCATAAAGCTGCCTCGCTCGCCCGCTCGGTGTGTGTTGCAAACCGCCCAGGCAGAGGCGAGCAGGGAAGGCGGTGGGGATTGCAGTTGGGAAGAGGCTGCCTGGCTAGCGGGGAGCGCACACACAGCCTTGCACACGCCGCTGAGCCTCTGCTACCAACCCCCCCCCCCTTCAACCAAGCCCGGACACACACACACACACACCAGCGGTGCCAAGGGCTGGCTCCCAATTCTCCCCTCCCCAGTAGCGGAAAGTAGGGGCGGGGGAGGGAGTGGAAGTATTACGGGGACGAGAGAGGGAGCCAGGGGTGTCCCCCCCAGGAAGCTAGCAAGTGGGTGGGTGGTATTTTTTTTGGGGGGGTGTTATCTGGAGAAGGGAGGTTTGCTGATGGGTGCCTAGTTTTGAATGACAAGCAGGAGGGGTAAAGGAAAGGGTGATTTGGAGAGGTCTGGGTGCAAATCCTGTGTGGTGCTGAGGGAGGGGGCGGTCTGGGGGGCAGAGTGGCCAAAGGGTGAGAGAGAGATCCGGATGAGTTTTCACATGGGTGAGGGGCGCCCTGGGTAATTAGGAAGGGAGGGGAATCTGTAGTAAGGGGTGGAAAGAGGCAATTCGCTCCGTTGCTCGGATGGATCTGGGTCAGAGGCAGGGCAAAAAGACGGGGGTGGTTTGGAGAGGGGGGTGGGAGGAGAGAGAAGTGTGCGCGCGTCTGGAGGGGAGTCGCAGGCAGGAGACGGTCTCCGCTGGATTTGGGGGGAGGCAAGTTGGAAGGGTAGGGCCCACGAGGAGGGAGAAGGCAGGAAGTGGGGGCTGGAGGGGGGGGACAATGGAGGGGTCGTCCCTGAGAGATTCAGTAAGGAGGAAGAGGGGACAACCGGGGTTGGCGCGTGGGGGGGGGGGAGATAGGCGATCAAGGGGGGTACTTGGGGTGCAGGAGGCCCTGAGCGAAGAAAACGCCATGGTGTGTGTGGGGGGAGATTGGGTGGAGGGTTAAATGCACGCATGGAGCGGGGTACACAATCCCTTCTTCCTGCAGTCAACGGAATGGGCAGCCGCCACAAGTCTCTGTGCCCCCCCCCCCGCCCCAGCATCCACACATGCCGACGCACCATCTCTCTTGGCGCGCATCTCCCTGTTCCCCCATCGCACCCAGCCTCCCGTTTGCTGTTGGTACTTACGCTTTCCATGGAAGAGGTCAACTTTCTCCCCGCTCAGCGGCCGCTGCTGAAGCCGAGGCTCCCCTCTCTCCTTCTCCTTCTCCTTCTCCTTCCTCCTCCTCTTCCTCCTCCTCCTCCTCCTTTCCTCAGCGCTGGTCTCCTCGCCTGCTCGCTCACACCATTTCCCAGCGCCCGGGGCTGATGCCACTCGGAGGAGCCTTGGCAGAGAGACAGGACCCAGCGAGCCGCCCCTTTAAGCCTCCTCTTTTTCTTCTTGCAGCGCGCTCTGGACATGGTAGGGCTGGCGACCAGGGCGCAGGGAACCCGTCTTCCCCGGCGGCGGTGGCGCCTGCTCTCCTCGCCGATCCTTCCCCGGGAGCCCCCGCCGTCGATCCCCCTCCGCTTGGGAATGATGGTCCTCCTCCGATCTCAAAAGCTCTGGTGGCACCCTCTGATGCATTCCACCTCAGCCCGTCCCAGGTATTTCCCCCGGACTGGGAAATCAAAACAACATCGAGAATAATGACAGTAGCAATTGTAAGAAGAAGGAAGGGAAAAAAACCTTGCAACCTCGCCTTGCTATCTCTATCCACCGATGCCGGCTTCAGCGAGCGCGCGCAAGCCGTTCCGCATCTCTTTCCCAGGAGAGCGCAAAGAAGCGGAGATCTGGGGGAGGCTGCGGGGGAGGCTGGCTCCAGGGGCGCCCCAGCCAAGAACTGCCATCAACTTGCCTTCTTCGCCTCTCCCCACTTGCAAAGAAAAGGAGCTAGCAGGAGGGGAGGGGAGAGGAGAGGCCCTGCGAGCCAAGAGAGGGTTTCCACAGGAAGGGGAAAGAGAGAGAGAGAAAGCAAGCAAATATAGCCAGTTATTCTGTATGGAGCTGCTGTTCTAGCCAAGCTGCCACAGACACAGTGGAGCTGGAGAGCTCCGAGGGGGAGGAGAAAGAGAAAAGGCAGCGATAGCAATCCGGATATTGGCGGCCAATAGATGGCAGTGTTAGGCATCAAATTGGCATTCTTCAGGAATGCTCACTTAGCTTGAAGCAAAAGCGGGGGGGGGGGGGAAGCTCTCCCCCTTTCTCTCTCTGTCTTATTTTGATTTTTTCGCTGTGATTATGCTGATGATTCCTAGGCATGGAGATCAGCCTTGTTTCATGTTTTACACAGGCGGGAGTACTGTG